TCTGGATGGCTGTATAGTATTGTGTTGTGTGAATACCCCACTCTGCAGCTGTTCCCCTACTCGGGATGATTTGTTTCTGCTTCCTCTCTCCCGCATGCAGGGCTGCAGTGAAATGTGCCTCAAAGTACACATCAGCTCTACTTGGTATTGCCACATCGCTCCCCAGAGGCACCATAGCTTCACCTTCCCTCAGGACTGTGTGAGAGTTCTCAATTCCTTCCATCCTTAGCAAAACCTCACACCAGAATCCCAGTAGTTAGGGAGACAGAGGCAGGAGGATCACTTGAGCCAAGGAGTTCAAGACTTACCTGGGCAACATGGCCACACCCCATTCTCCACAAAATGGAAAGAAAAAAAAAAAGAGAGAAATAAAACTGAATGATAGGAGACGTTTACATTTTCGCCAGTTGTTACTGTATTGAAGATTGCTCATTTTAGATTTCAGTTCTCTAAAAACAAGTGAACATAGATATTTTTTCATGAGTTTATTAGCCATTTGAGTTTTCTCTTCTGAAATTACCTTTACGTATGCTTTTAAAACTGGGTTATCTTTTTCTTACACATTTCTACGGTTTCTTGATATGTTCTGGATGCTTTTTTTGGCTGTATGAATTCTGAGACCTTTTTCAGGCTTCTTACTTGTGTTTCCACTTCATTGATGGTAGCTTTTGGCATACTATAGCTTTTACATTGTAAAGCAGACCAGTGTGTGTTTTCTTTTCTAGTTTGTGCTTTATGTTTCTTATTTTAAAATATTTTGCCACCCCAGTGCCAAAAAGGTATTCTTTCTGTGTTTTGTGCAGAAAGATTTACAGTTTTGTGAACTCTATTTGAGCACTTACTCCATTGCAAGTTTATGTTTGGTGTCAGGAAGGCCCTGTTCTGTCTCTTCCTTCTATGTAGCCTGTGTGCCCCTTTCCTCCCAATCTACCCATGTCTGCTGAATACCAGGTGCCTTTACACAGAGGAGCCTATTTCTAGGCTCTTTTTCTCTTGGTCTATTTAAATAACTCTAGATAAAGACCATGCTGTTTTAGTTAGCCAAACTTGGTAGTATATCTTAAAATCTGATAGGACTTATGCTTCTTTAAAAATTGCTTGGGTTGAGGCCGGGCGTGGTGGCTCAAGCCTGTAATCCCAGCACTTTGGGAGGCCGAGGCGGGTGGATCACGAGGTCAAGAGATCGAGACCATCCTGGTCAACATGGTGAAACCCCGTCTCTACTAAAGATACAAAAAATTAGCTGGGCATGGTGGTGCGTGCCTGTAATCCCAGCCACTCAGGAGGCTGAGGCAGGAGAATTGCCTGAACCCAGGAGGCGGAGGCTGCGGTGAGCCGAGATCGCGCCATTGCACTCCAGCCTGGGTAACAAGAGCGAAACTCCGTCTCAAAAAAAAAAAAAAAAAAAAAAAAAAAAAATTGCTTGGCTTTTCTGGATTTTTTATTTCTTTGTTTTTTAGCTCTTTTTATTGTGATACACAGCACAAACTGTAGCTGTCACGAAGCTGGGCCAAATCACTGTAAAGCAAATATACCCATAATCCACCATGCAGACTGTGCCTGGCCAGCCCTGCAGCCCACGGTGCTCCCTTCCTTCCCACCTCTCTTTCTCCTTCCCATCTCCCTCCTGTGACCCCTTTCCCTTCCTTCTCCCTCCCTCCTGTGACCCATTCTGGCACACATAGTCATCATCTTTGCACTTTGCTGTATTGTTTTACTGTTTAGTGTGTGGTTTAGATTCACCCGTTGACAGAAGTGGAATCATGTTTTCAGGTTTGGGGTCTGGCTGATTTCTCTTAACATAATGTTTTTAAAATGCAAGCCTTAAATATTCAGCATGAACTTGAGGACTGGCATTTACATTCCAACAAAACACCCTGTTAAGATTTTTTTTTGAATATTTAATTTATGTATTAATTTGATGAAAATTGGTATCTTAACAGTTTTGCATCTTCTTATTCATGGAAGTGGTATCTTTATTATCACTAGGATTTTTTTTTAATCCCGTATTATCCTTTTTCATTTTTTTCTGTTAAGGCCATACACACACACACACACACACACACACACACACACACACACACACGATTTATTCCCAAGTATCTTACAGTTTTTTTTGCTGTTATTTGCTAAGAGTTTATTTTTTCTTTTTAAACAATCTGTATTTTGTCCCTGGTTGCTTTTAAGGATTTCTTTCTTTTGTTTCACCACAGTGGAGCTAGATGTAAATTTCATTTTAGCATCCTTTTAGAGACTCTTCCACTTTCATTCTGAGGATTTATATTCTTTATTAACTCTAGAAAACTCTCACCTATTTATCTCTTTAAATGTAATATCCTTTCCCTCATATTCCTTCTGTTGTCTTCTGGAACCCCTATGCTGATAGCCGCATGAAATGCACGCAATCTGCCTGTGCAGAGGCCTGGTCCTTCCCTACCCACATAGACCCTCCTTGGTTCATGCCCCGCAGAGCTTTTTCCTTTTCTCTGTGGAGGAGAGAAAGGGTTCATGGAGCATGGGGATGAACTGGGGTGCCTCTAACCCAGACTTAAGTAACCCTCTACCTCTCTCCTCCTTCCACATGGCCTAGACCCTCTAGTCCAGGAGTGTCCAGTCTTTTGACTCCTCTGTGACACATTGGAAGAAGAATTATCTTGGGCCTCACATAATATACACTAACACTAATAATAGCTAATGAGCTTTAAAAAAAATAGGAAAAAAATCTCATAACTTTTTTTTTTTGAGACAGAGTCTCACTTTATCACCGAAGCTGAAGTGCAATGGCATGATCTTGACTCACTGTAACCTCCACCTCCCAGGTTCAAGCGATTCTTGTGTCTTCAGCCTCCTAAGTAGCTGGGACTGCAGGCATGTGCCACCACACCAGCTAATTTTTGTGTTTTTAGTAGAGACGGGGTTTCACCATGTTGACCAGGCTGGTCTCAAACTCCAGACCTCGTTGTGATCCACCCATCTTGGCCTCCCAAAGGGCAGGGATTACAGACATGAGCCACTGCGCCTAACCTCATAATGTTTTAAGAAAGTTTACGAGTTTGTGTTGGACCACATTCAAAGCTGTACTGGGCCGCATGTGGCCCACAGGCCTCAGGTTGGATAAGCTTGCTCTAGTCCCTGTGCTTGTCTGAGTCCCACAGAACTCTGCAGGCATTTGGACTTAATGCTTCTCATATGCAGAGTGGTTTATAATCACTCAGTAAGCTTTCCATTTTATTAGCATGGCTCAGGATTACAGTTTCTGGTTTCAGTGACATTAAAGTTTGTTTCTGTTTCCATTTTCTTTGTCGTCTTTGTACTGTTTTTGAGAGAAGAGGCACAGAAATTATTTGAAACCAGAAGTTGTTCACCATTCACTCTTCAGCCTACTACAGTCTGTCTTTTGTACCAAAAGTGTTCTTATAAACACCTTGTTTATCAAACACCCCCATTTGCGACATCCAGTGGTTAGTTCTATGTTACTTATCAGCTGCATTAGATATAGCTGACGATCCCTATCTTAAAACACTTATCAGCTTCAGTGATACTAAACTCCTGTATTTTCCTTCTCTTCACTGGCAGCCCCTTCTTCGATTTCCTTACTGCGTTTCCTCCTCTGTCTATCCACAGAATATTTGTGCACTCCTGGGTTTGATCCTTAGCCCTGTTCTGTCTTCTGCTGTGTCTCCCATACCCCATGTTATCTCTTCTAGTCCTGTTGCTGTAAATGCCTTATATCCAGTGACTGAAATCCTTATCTCCACCTTTTCCTTGAGTTCTGGAATTACATAGCCACCTGCCCATTCAGTAGCCCGCCAAAATATCTAATAGACACTCCCAAGCTCGGGCTGTGCAGCATCTGCCCTTTCTCTGCCTGAAATGTTCCTTCCCCATTTCATCAAGTCACAGGCACCGCATCATCCTTAAGATCTTCGTTCAAGTATCACTTTCTCCAAGGGCTCCCCTGACGTCCCCTACCACCCCTCAGAGAAGGTTTGTGCTCCAGGTCACTTTATTTCCTTCCCAGAACTTGCCAGAATTAGTTGTATGTGTTGACTTGATTACTGCCTGTTCTTCACATCACATGGACTGCTATAAGCTCTGTGAGAGTGGGGCCTTGCTTATCTTGTTCTCTGCTGTATTCTGAGTTCCCAGAATATGGTATGTAGCAGAGTCTCAAAGAATTCTTGCCTGATTCATTAATTTAAATTTTATTATTAAAACATTGAAGTATACTCTTCTCGTATTAAAAAGTTGTCACATATGTTCAATTTGATCTTCTAGTCCCAAGAATCAAATTCACATCGATTTTTTTTTTTAACAAAGGAATAGCCATAGTCATTTTAGCTAGAAAATCATAGGAAGTCTTGAGACTTCTGTAACCATACATTATAAATGACCTTCAAGATAAAGAATAGGTTGGTTTATAAATGGAATGGTTCATTGCTAACTAATATTGGTGAGGATTTTAAATATCTAGAAAAAATCAGTACTTGAAAAACTGATTAAAACACTATGTAAATAAAAACCAAGATTTTAGATTGTGTTTATTCTCTGATAAATTTGTCACATGACTGGGTCAGCTGAGACATTGCAATTATTTTCTGTTGGTGTCTCTGTGATGGCCATCTGCCAGCAAAAGTAACCACAAAGTCAGTATAGTGTGAAAGTGTTTCAATAATCAGATCTTTTACAGCTTTTAAAAAATGAAGACAGTATCCTGACCATCTTTTACCAGAACTTTGTATACTAAATCATTAAAATTTTGCTAGCTCTTCTAATTCAATAAAAAACAATTTTGTTTTACTGAGTAAGCTCAGTTTTGTGTTGATTTGTACTGCTTAGTATTCTGCAGTGTGGAAGAGGATTTTGCTTATCGCCTAACACGGCTATGACTAAGAAAAATACCATGTACAGCGTTTGGAGGCTGCTGATTTTTGTGTCATGTATGTATATTTTTAATGATGTTACATTCAGACGATCACACTGGATTTTTTTTCTCTTAGATTTCAGGTCTGTGCTACGACAGCAAAATGTTCCAGGTGCATCAGGTGCTCTGCATCCCCAGCTGGATGGCAAAATTCTTTTCTTGGACACTTGAACCCATCTTCTCTTCTTCAGAACCCACCAGCGAAGCCAGAATTGGGATGGGAGCCACGCTGGACATCCAGAGACAGCAGAGGATGGAGCTGCTGGATCGGCAGCTGATGTTCTCTCAGTTTGCACAAGGGAGGCGACAGAGACAGCAGCAGGTAAAAGTGCTAATAATTACTAAAAACTTAGAAATTTTTCAGTGGCCCAAGCAAATCTTTCCTCTGTGATTGCATGTGAGATAGAGACTACATTTTATTCCAGTGCCTTGCAAGTAGATTTTGATGTTTCCAAATAGAATGTAGATCTCTGTTAGTGGCTAGTCTTAGTTTTTTTAAAAGGTTAAAAAAAAATAAATTGCAGCTGAAAGATTGGTCAAACTGAATATTCCTGTTCCAGCTATATAAGATAAGCATTACTTCTTAGAGAAACACCAACCTAGTTAACAAGCTGTACTATTTATCTGTTTTCATAATCTTGTAAAAGCCACAGTGTCTTCCTGTTAAAATGCTAATCATATGCTATGGAGTGAAGAACAAATGTAAAACTTCTTGATTTTCCTTAGTTGAGATGAAGAGAATATGTAGGTAAGCAGATTTTCAATGGAACAACCAAGAAGTAGATAAAAATAATGCTGTGTTTTCTGAACCTTGCTATGAATAATCAGGAACTATTGCACATTTATCTACAAATACTGCTGCATCCAAACAATCTGATACTACACTTGTCTACCACAGGGTGCGAGGGAAGGAGGGTTCCTGCACGTCAGGCTAAAACCTCAGGCCTGATCTTTCTTGGACACTTCTGTGAGTCAGCTCACAGGGCTCCCCATTTCTCGCCTCCACCTTCTTTACCCCTGGGGTAGTTGTAAACCATACAATTATCTCTGCCATCTCTCTGTCTACCACTAGCATTGGATGCAACAGGTAGGCCTTCAGATCTCACAGTGGTTTGGAGAAGTGAAATCAGGTTTGAGGTAATTAGAGTCACCTTGGAGATGCAGATCCCAGAGTTTATATCAGGGTGGGAAAAAGGGGGCACCTTATCAGGGGCAGAGTCTACAAGAGAAAGAGAGAAGCAAAAGTTGTTTCTTAAAGATGTGCTTGAATTTGAATGACTCTGGAACATGCCATAAAGATGCCCATGGTATATTTAAAGCTGGATAATGGACATCTCTGTCTTGGAAATATGGAAGCTACATATGTAGATGATTGAGTAACCTCTGTATGGATGAGAGCTGAAAGCAAAGAACTAATGAGTTCTGTAAGAGAAGAACTACATCCAAGAAGAACACAGGCTACAGACGAAGCCTTGTGTTTAGCAGGAGGTAGATCCTGCAAAGAAACTCAAAGGTATGAGAACTCAGAATGATCCAGGTCAGAAAACCTGAGCAGTGGTTGAGTATAGAGGTAGAGGCACAGAGCTTATGAGGGAGAGAGAGAAGTAGGGGATGCTTCTGATGTTTCTGGCTTAGGTAATCTTAGATAGATGACTGATGGTTCCAATTCACCAGTATCAGAAGAGCAGATTTGGGGGAAATATGTTGTCTGAGGGACCTTTGAAATACCTGGGAGGAGATTCCCCATTGGAGAACTTTGAATTTGTGTTCATGAGCAAACCAGAGAAGTTGCGTTTCTCCGACTGGCCTCCTCAGGAAGATTTTTATACATGGAGTTTATGAGAGAACACTGTCAGCATCAGTGTCTATGGGGACGGGCTGGCAAAGGCAGCAAGATGGGACAGAGGGAGCAGCTGCAGTTCCAACAAAAGCCTCACTGGTCTTACAGAGCACAGTGGAGCTGAAAGAGCCCTTCTGAGTTATCCCAAAATGGGGACTGGTCCTGTTGGATAAGCCCCACACATGTGACCTCATTTAACCTTAATTACCTTTAAATACAGTCCCCACCTTTAAATACAGTCACATTGTAGGGTTAGGGCTTCAGTGTGTGAATTTAGGGCAGAGGAAAGGAAAGGGGTGGGGGACAATGTGTTCTATAACGCTGCTCCCCTCAGATTGGAAAGGGCTCAGTACTGTCTGTTGGTGCTGAGTGACTGCTCTGCTTGCAGACATGGGTTATCAGGTGCACGGAGTCTCTGTGGATGCCAGGTTGGATGCTCCACAGTGGCAGGAGATAGGTCAGCCTAGACGAGGGGAACCCACACACACCCCCATGCCACCATCACGGCCATCCGTTCATGTGCTAGCACTGAGGTATCTGGTAATGGAGCCACAGTCATTCTGCCCATCTTCCATTTGGTGCCTTTTCTGTAGTGGATGCCCATGGTGGGCACCACCTGCAAAACACCTGATGCTGTTCCTTTAGCTGAATCTTCCTCGTTCCCTCCCTTCCAGTCCCCTGACCAGCCGACCAGGTCATCTTCCCTGCCCAGCAGATCCACATGTGTGACTGCCTTAGGCCACTTCTCTTTCCATACAGAGCTGATATCTGAATGTGCTGCCCAGGCTCTGCCCTTAGGGGGTTCCCCTGATTGCTGTCTTTCAAGATCCGAGCCATCATGCAGTCGTTTCCTTCAGCTGCCACTCCTGTCCTAAGCCGGCCTGTCCATGAGTCACATTTGGCTATTTTCCCCTTTGTCACTTGGTCATGGGGGTCCCACCTGCTGTGGCACTTGGTGTTTGCTGGGAAGAGGCTGTGGTGCAGCAGAGATGGCTGCCAGGGTGGTCTGACTTGCCTGCTTCTGCGGCCACACTCATGCTGATCCCAGATGCCCTTGTCCATCTGAATATGGGTTTCTGTCAGCCCACCTGGCCTGGTAACTTGGTGGGTTTCCACTACTGACCACATGCTCACTTTATGCTCTACAGACAGGCACTTCGTGGTGCAGCAGCAGTTTATGCATGTGAGATTCTTGGCTGTGTGTGCACGCCCTCACTCCAGGACCCCACGAATCCACATCATGGTTCTCCTTTTCTTGCCATAAGCTTCGCACAGTGTCTTTCCCCACCCCAGATACTTGGAACATCACAGGATCTGCCAAGTTGTAGCCAGGCCTCAGAGAATAAGACAGACCCCAAACCTCTGCCCTGCTGGAGCATGTATTTCCACTAGGCACCTGTGAAACAGGTCTTTAAGGCCTTTGAACAGGCCTTTGAACAGGCCTTTAAGGCTGTTCCCACTGCTGTGAGACTCCTCCACTTTCAGAGAATGGTCTCCCACAACAGGTCTGAAGTCCAGAGCAGGACACCAGTCCCTGGGCTCTTGCTGGACTTTTTCGTTGAATGGTCTGCTGGGCAGCACAGACCAAACTCTTGATTTATTCCTGAGCTTACTAAGTTCTCTTCTAGTGTCTACACATGTGTACACCCAAATCTCGGCACTTAGCCTCCTGCTGAACTTCACCAAACTGTGTCTCAATTTTACTCACATGAGTAAAATCACCATGTAGAGAACTCTTTTGTTAAACCACCGCTAGAAATTATCCACTGTGTTTGTTTGCATGCACGAGTACTGTACATGGTGCAGTTGTATTGGAATGTAATACCAGGGGAAAAGTTTGTTTTCACTTACTTTCCAACAAATAAGTACTTAGTGCTTATTATATGCGAGGCCCAGGGCTGGACATTGTGGACCCAGAGGTGAGAAAGATAGCCCCCAGTCCTTTTTCTTACAGAGCTTAGGTCCTGTCTCTCTTGCAGAATTATCATGTTTCACTCTTTATCAGTAAAAAGACCGCCACCATTTATTGTGCCAGCCCCATAGCAAGTACTCAGTATACGTTATCTTGTTTATGCCCAGCCTGCTCCTAGAGAGATGCAGGTTTTCCCTCATGACCCTGGAGGCTCAGGGAAGTGCTTGCTTGTCCATGGGCATGCAGCTGTTGATAGGGATCTGGGAGTGGGACCAGCTGTGTCTGACTCCGAGGTCTCTGTTTCTGATCCCTCACTCATATACCTCCCAACATGAGAGCTTCTTGGTGATTTTTTTTTCCCCCTTTTCACTTTAGCTGGCAGGAAACTCAGCACCAGGCTTCAGGTTTAATTAGGTTTCTAACCCAAAGTTAGAACTCTTGGCTTCCATTTTCTATGTGTTTCAGATATATGTTTTTGTTGTTTGCTCCTGTATCTTTTATTGTAGGCAATCTCATACTGTGTTACTGCATTAAAATACAGCTGTTATTTGTTGTTTTTTTTTTTTTTTTTTTTTT